ATTGATTAAAAATTTTATGCCTAAAGATTAGCATTATTATGATTGTATGAACATCAATTATCACTCAAAGAGTCACCCTAACTCAATTACCCCTATCTTAGGACCTATTTGCCCTTATTGATTAAGCTTGTTTTGTAATTACTCTGTTTTTGCTTTGCTTTGCTTGAGTGTTATTGCTTAAATGCTAGAGTTTACTTGGTATAAGTCTTGTTTTCTTGTTTATTTAGGTTGATAGAAAACAATTTATTGATCTTGCTTGGATTAAAAACCTTTATGCATTCTTTGTTCACAAATAACCCCATTTGGATTGACATTTCACATATTACAATGACATGAGTAATAGAGATTAATTGCTTAGTAAAAGTCCTACTATCAATTACTCTTAGAAGTGGTAAAGAACTTCCCCCAAGAGAGGGTCTTCCACAACTTAATGAGGACATTGAAGACCAAGATGGGGAGATTGCCACTGAAAAAGATGATGTGGTCGTTGTTGATGATGAGATGAAAGCCAAGAAGGGTAAGGGCATTGTTTAGGAGAAAGTCAAGGAAACTCCAAAGAAGAAGGAAATAGTTTTTATCCCTCCACCATATAAATTACCACTCCCATTTCCAGGGAGACTCAAGATGCAACTGGTGGAGCAATATCAAGCTCTCTTTGATGAGCAAATGAAGAAAATGGAAATCGCCAAATCCCTACTTGATGCTTTTATGTTGGTGCCTCTTTATCAAAAGTTTCTTAAATATGCTGTTTTGAGGAGAACCAAGGAGTTGCATGGAATGACGGTTCTCACACATGAATGTAGTGCAATTATACAAAGGAAAGTGGTGCCAAAGAAGCTTGGAGATCCGGAACTTTCACTCTCCCTTGTTTTTTGGGACCTCTTGCTTTTAACAATTGTTTATGTGCTCTATATTGCAAAACGCCTTGGATTAAAAAGATTCAAGGAATGTAGGATCTCTTTAGTGCTGGCTGATAGATTAATAAGACTCTCATTGGTCTACTTGTAGATTTACCTTTAAGGATTGTAATGTGGAAGTGCCCACAGATTTCATAGTCTTGGAAATGGACGAAGAACCAAAATATCCTCTCATCTTAGGAAGACCTTTCTTAGCCATATCTGGAGCTATAATTGATGTGAAGAAAGGCTAAATTGATCTCAACTTGGGCAAAAACCATGTGTTCAAGTTTGACATCAAAGATGTGATGAAAAGACCAATTATTGAAGGGTAAACTTTTTGGGTTGAAACAATAGATAGGCTGGCTGATGAGTTTTTTGAAGAGTTGGCTTTAGAGGATCATCTAAAAGTGGCTTTTAAAAACGATCATGGAGAGAATTGGTATCTATATGATGAGAGCTTAGCATACATGAGATTCCTTGATTCACACAAGACAATAGATGGTGAAGTAACATTCAATGAGCATGGTGGTCTAACACTTGGGATAAGTGCCCTAGAAGTCAAGAGTGTGGCTGAGAAGGATGCTAGCAAGGATAAGTCTAGCTTAGATGACGATTGGTGTGAGCTCAAGGCACCTAAAGTTGAGATCCAACAATTATAACAAGGGATTAGGTATACATTTGTAGGTCCTAATTCTTCATATCCAGTAATTGTGAATGAAAAATGAAGTAGTGATGAATTGTCCACCCTCTTAAATGAGCAAAGAAAGTTTAGGAGAGCTATTGGATACTCCTTGGAGGATATCAAATGCATATCTCCTAATCTTTGCACTCATAGAATCCATTTAGAAAATGAATCAATGACTTCTATAGAACATCAAAGAAGGTTGAACTCTAATTTAAAAGAATTTGTAAGAAATAGATTCTAAACTTCTAGATGCTGGTGTTATTTATCCTATCTCTTATAGTACATGGGTTTCGCTTGTGCATGTGGTGCCTAAGAAAGATGGAATCACTGTCATTTAGAATTGAAAAGATGAGTTAATACCAACTAGAACCATAACTAGCCATAAAATGTGTATTGACTATAGAAAACTTAATTCAGCTTCAAGAAAATATCATTTCCCTCTTCCATTTATTCACCAAGTGCTTGAAAGACTTGCAAATCACCCATTCTATTGTTTTCTTAATGGGTATATTGAGTTCTTTCAAATACCAATTCATTCGAATGATGAAGAGAAAACAACTTTCACATGCCCTTATGGTATCTTTACTTATAAAGAATGCCATTTGGGTTATGTAATTCTTTAGCAACCTTTCAAAGGTGCATGTTGTTGTCGATATTCTCTGATCTCATTTAGGAGATAGTAAAAGTATTGTTGGATGAGTTTTCTGTGTATGGTTATTCCTATGGTGCTTGTTTGTCAAATCTATGCAGGGTTTTAAAAATGTGTGAACAGACAAACTTGGTTCTGAATTGGGACAAATGCCATTTTATGGTTAGAGAAGGGATTGTGCTTAGGCACAAGATTTCAGAGAAGGTTATTGAAGTGGATAAAGCCAAGATAGAGGTTAGGATGCACTTGGAGCCTCCAAAATCAGTCAAAGGGTATAAGAAGTTTCCTGTGACATGCTGGCTTTTATAGAAGGTTCATCAAAGACTTTTCCAAGATAGCTAGACCTCTCACAAGGTTGCTATGCAAGGAAAAAGAGTTTATCTTTGATGACGAATGCACCAAGGCTTTTTTAACTATCAAGAAAGCCCTTGTGCGTGCACCCATTGTTCGAGCTCCAAATTGGGATTTTTTCTTTGAGATCATGTGTGATGCAAGTGATTATGATGTTGGAGCTGTCTTAGGGTCAAAGAGTTGATAAGAATCTGCATGTTATCTACTATGCTAGTAGGACTTTCGATGAGACACAAGGAAGATATGCAAAACCCGAAAAAGAGCTTCTAGCTGTTGTGTTTGCATTTGAGAAGTTAGGAAGCTACTTGGTGGGAACTAAGGTGATTGTCTACACTGACCATGCTGCCTTGAGATACATATTTGCAGAAAAAGACACAAAACCAAGGTTGCTATGGTGGAGTTTGACATGGAGATTGCTGATAAGAAGGGTATTGAGAATGGGGTTGATCAAGGATGAGGATTGAGGAAGTGATATAAGATCAAGGGGGTATGATCTTATAAATGGTTGGGTGAATGGGTGGAAGCAAGCAGCTGGACTGAAGTCTCTTTCTACTTGCTCAAGAGATGATCGAAGTGGATGGTTATGGGATCAATCCTGCTGGACTCAAGTCTCTTTCAGGAAGGATCGGTGGGTGGAATGGATAGATGGGTTGACTGATTCCACAGGCAACAATTTATGCTTCTAACTTCCAAGGGCTCATCCTCGCATGGACAGTAAGAAACAACACGAAAACTCAAATGTCTGATTCCACAAAACACTCAAGAACTCGCAAGAACATAAGAGAAGTGATTCCACACAATCTCTAATAAACAAAGTAACAAAGCCTAAGCTTTTTAGAGAAAATTCTCTTTCATTTTCCAAAAATTTCTATATCTTTTTACAATGAGAACAATGAGCTTTTATAGCTCTTACAAAAGATCTTTACAAATAAATACACTTAAATGAAATTATTTACATTTAAACAAAAAGAGAAAAATAAGATAAATCAAATAATTGTCTTCTTGCCACCAATCTTTCTTTGGACTTGAATGAGAATCCTTTGACTTTATAAGTTATGAAGAACAAATTCTAATAATAATTCACATATTAAAGACCTTTGATTTACTAATTTTTGATATAGTATCAGGAAGTCATCCCCATTGATGATTTCCTGCCTGAAGAACAACTTATGTTTGTGAAGACCTTGGAGGAAGGCTACAACTTGGGAAAGAGGCTTAAAGATGTCAAGAGCTTAAAGGAAAAAAGTTTGTCTTGGTATGTAGATTTAGTGAACTACTTGGTGAGTGGTGATGTGTCAATCAACTTAGTTGAATTTCACGCATTTTCATAGTCTTTTGAGTCATTTTCAGGTTAATTGTAGTCAAGAGGAGATAGGAGACTTGGCAAGAGGAATGGTCAAGAAGAAAATGAAAAGAAATCTGCAACTGACCAAATATGCAGAGACCAGACAATCTGTCAAAACGATCGAATTGGATGAAAGCCTTCCTGGTATCATATAGAGCTGATACTCGGTGTCAAGATAGGAAATTGAGTTAGCTTTCATTTGGCATCAGTTTTAAGTCATTCCGATATGTGGTTGGGAAATTATGACAATTTCCAAGAAGGCATGTCAGTTTGGCAGAAAAATCTTTACTGGAGCATCAAAGCGGACAATGCCAGAAATGAAGAGCGTCCAATCCAATACCTGCGAAATTTTGTGATGTTTTCCCCAAGAGCACCAAAGCGGTCAATGCTAGAATTGCAGAGTGACCAATCCAGTGCCAACGAGAATTTGCTCTTATTTCAACTAGATCCGACCAGGTTTATCCCGGGTCAATCCAGTTTGACTTCTTATGCTATAAATATGTTTTTAGAGACCAAAAACTCTAAACTTTTCATTATCTCTTGCCTCCTGAGACCTAAACACTTTTCTAATTTTCTATGTTGGATCTTTTATCTGTTCTTCCTAATCTAGTGCAGTTTTCTTAATATCTTCTTAACCTCTACTAATTATGTCTTTTATCATTAGATTTATGGTTGTCGCCACGATTAGTGAGTATTTTTACTAGGGTCTAAATATGGATATATTAGGGTGATTTGATGATTGATCTTTGAAGATTAGGGCTTGATTCCTTCATTTATTTATTTATATTTCATGTTCTTAATACTAAATCTGTCTTGATCATGTTGGTTTAGAATTTAGGTCTTTTCATGCATCCACCTACATATTATTTGAGAAGTAACAATAGTGAAAAAAGCTTACTTGTCACCTCCACAGCTAAAGTTAGTACAAATAATTGATGACCTATAAATATGACATGACTCATTTTGTAGATAAATATGGTAATTTTTAACACCTCATCATTAAAAACAACAAACAAACCATCAAATGAAATTTAGGTTTCGCCTCATCATCCCTAATAGCGATTCGCCTCTATGACAAGCGTAACGAAATTCATCAAAGCGATCCTGATTTCTGGCTAACTGCTGTAAGTTTTGATTCTCTATTCTGTTTTTCAATTCGGTTCTTGAAATAGTCTATCTCTAATAACGCGATTGGGAAACCTGTTCAAAGAAGATAAAAACCGACTTCGCAATCTCATCTTCTTGACTTATATCCATGGGGCTCTCACAATTTTGCAACAACAACAGAACATTCTAATCGAAGATGGATTCACTTCTTCTCTAAGATTTTGGGCAGAAGGTGGATTTGACCCGACGAATTCGGGAGGTTTTATTCAACTACCCGGAAGGCACCACCGTACTAAAAGAGCTTATACAAAACGCTGACGACGCCGGAGCTACCCGGGTCCGTCTCTGCCTTGATCGCCGTGTTCACTGGTCAGATTCTCTGCTGTCGGACTCTTTGTCCCAGTGGTAGGGTCCTTATCTCTTGGCGTACAACGATGCTGTTCAATGAGGAGGATTTCGTTAGTATCTCCAGAATTGGTGGGAGTGGGAAGCACCGTCAAGCTTGGAAGACTGGTCGATTTGGGTAAAGCATTTACACTAAGCTTTTGTTTGACTTTAACAAAATTTACGCACCCAAATCTTTTGCAATTATCTTGGATTCCTTTTTTTTTATCATATCTCTTACTTGTGTTCGTCGTGAAGAGTCTTAACTGTTCGATTAGTTGAAGTCATTTGAGAAAATTTTGAGTGAAAATGTTACTTTTATTTATATTATTATTTTTGAGGTTTTTTCATTAAAAAGAACTCAAACATATAATCATCCAAGACTACACTAAGATTTTGTTGTACGCACTGATGATCATCTCTCCTTCGTTTTTTTTATTACTGTTCCGACTTTCATACTTGTAGGATTGGCTTCAATTCGGTATAGCACGTGTGTCCTCTACAGGGACTATCTTTAGCATCAGCTATGTTGTTTGTGTTTGATCTGATTATTGTATATGAACAGGAGACGAACTGGATAATGTAGCAAGCCGGGAACCAAAGCCTGTCGTGAGAAATAGAGAAGGAAACAGCTAAACGAGAAGTATGTTCAGAGCTTTGCCTAATGCGTATGTTTTTAGATAAATTGTTTGCACAATGTTGTTCAACAGTCTCAATATGCTTTCAGGTTTATGGAATTGAGCTCTGTTCTTGAGCCTACAAGGACTCCAAAGACAGATAAATCAGCGATTCTAGATGATGCAATCCGGGTTGTAAATCAGCTCAGAGGTGAAGCTCTTGATCTCAAAGAAACCAACCAGAAACTTCTAGAAGAGATCAAGAGTCTCAAGGTTGGTTTATCACTTTGATTTTCGTGAAACTTTTAGCTCTACCTAAACCCCATTATCTAATGAGCCTGATTTGATTCCGGTTTTTGCGTATAGGCGGAGAAAAACGAGCTAAGGGAAGAGAAGCTGGTGTTGAAGGCTGATAAGGAGAAGATGGAGCAACAGTTGAAATCTATGGCGGTTCCATCACCAGGGTTCATGCCTTCTCATCCAGCAGCAGCTTACCATCCATTCTTAAGCCTTAAACTCTGTTCCTCAATTATGAGGGCTTGCCAACTGGAGTGAATCACGAGAAGAAAAGAAACAAACATGCATTCCCTGAAGAAAGGTTTATAATTCATCTCCTCATTTAGTAAATCTGCACCCACGCATAGATCCAAGTTAAAAAATTGTTGCACCATGATGACTTAATTCTGACATCTTTTTTATTAAAAAAAATAATTACGGTTCGTTTTTTTTTTAAATTGCAGGTTCCAGACTCATTTCAGACTCAAAAAGCGTGGACTTGAGAGAATCTAAACTTGAGAAGGAATCAAATGAGCCTGCTTCCAAGGTACAAAAAAAACATTTTAGTTTTCCTTTCTTATGCAATGGGTTTAATTTTGGGTCTACATATAGAAAATACTTATTTATAGAAGAAGTAATATTATTAAAATCGAGATAATTAAAACTTTGATTTACCTCAATTTGATGAGTTTTAATTTTGTTACTAAATATAAATATAGAAAGGAAATAAACGGAAAACACAATATAAGGAGACTAACTTCTAAGCACCAAAACTAGAATTCTGTTAATATCTTCAATTAATACCAAATATATCAAAAATTAGATAAAAGGAAATACAATTTACTATGATGCTGAAATATTTTGATTGACACCATCACCATTACTACTGACCTCTAATTATAATATGTTTTCATAATTTTGGAATGTACTATATCATAAATATACGACTTTTAATTGTTTTTAGAAAAGTACATTATACGCTAATTTATTGATCTTCTCTAACTATATATGTAAAACGTTTTTAGAATGTACCTCATTCGATTTTTTTTATCACATACCACACATAATAATGGCTCTTGTCTGCCTTAAAAAATCTTCTTTTGTGATGTTAAACAATCTCGATTCTGCTAGCTACACCCAAAAGATAAAAGTACATATCCAAGTTTTTTTGGAATTCTTTTAAAACTACTGCTGGTAATTCAATTGAAATGGTGCTGGTTGATGAAGTGGTTTGTTTTTATGTCTATATTTTTTTTCTAATGTTTTACTTTCAAAGTTGTAACAAGATTTTTTATTTTTAATTTTCCCAGGGAACCAGGATTCATGCAACAGTGGTTGAAGAATTTATACAAAAACATCAACAAGCTTTGAAAGAAGGTGTGGCTGTTAGCATCAACGCTTTCAAAGTTAAAAAAATATGGTGGGGATTACAGAACCTCTCAGTTGCCGTTCAAGATGAAATTGACCCAAACAAGTGTTATCAAACCAGTTTGTGATTTCCCAAAAGAATTCCCAAAAAAATATTTCAGTGATTTTTCTGAGATTTTGGATGATAAACTCGACAAAAACGTCTTGTAATATTAAAACACTTCTTCTACATTTACGTTTTTATGTTTCGAAGATATTCCATCCCTTTCTTTTAATTTTTCATTGTTTATTACTTTACATGTTTGCACGTAGATGTTATTGGACAAGTGTTTAGCGTGGGTGCCAAAGATGATATTCAAACAAGAGTACAAAATTAGAACTCGACATGTGGTAGAAGGTAATATTGATCCTAAGGGTGGTATATGTAATGGGACTAGGCTTATTATTACTCAGATGGCTCGACATGTGGTAGAAGATAGAATTTTAACAGGAAATGAAAAATTGATTGGTCAAAAGGTTTTAATCCCTAGGATGTATGTCACACCACCACACACTAGGTTTCCTTTTAGAATGCATCGTAGACAATTTCCTTTAGCTTTAGCTTTCGCAATGACCATCAATAAAAGCCAAAGACAATCACTTCAGAATATCGGTTTGTTTCTACCTAGACCAGTTTTCTCTCATGATCAGCTATATGTTGCTTTATCTAGAGTTAAATCTCGATCTGGACTTAAAGTTCTCATCACAGACAAAGAAGCGAAGGTGCAAAAGAAAACTATAAATGTCATCTACAAAGAAGTTTTTGATAATCTTTCTTAGTTTATATTTTTGATATATTTTATTACACTTTATTATATATTCTCACGTTTATGTAACATTTTCTATTAGAATATTTTATGATTTTTACTTATTTTGAATTGTCAAATGTGCATACAACAGTAATACTTAATGTTTAGTCAATCATATATGTAAATATTCATAAAATAATATGTAATATATTTCAAATATTAAACATATAAAATATGTTATAGCACGCACATGGTGCAAGCCGATCACCTAGTTGAAATTGTTTGATGAAATGCTTGAATGAATCATCTAAAAATTTGCATACTTAGCCTTTGAGAATAGATGTCTAAGGTTATTAGATTTATAGATCTGAATTTTAATGCTTGTTGATTACTTTTACACTAATGGAAATTAGATTTTGATTAAGTAATTAGCAAAAGGATTAGTGTCATGAGCAGATTAGCCTTTTTTAAGAGTTCTATGCCTAAAGATTAACATTATTATGATTGTATGAACATCATTGATCACTCAAAGAGTCACCCTAACTCAATTACCCCATCTTATAACCTATTTGCCTTTACTAATAAAGATTGTTTAGTAATTACTCTGTTTTTGCTTTGTTTGAGTGTTATTGCTTAAGTGTTTGAGTTTAATTGTGATAAATCTTGTTTTGTTGTTCATTTAGGTTGATGGAAACAACTTTATTGATGGTGCTTGGATTAAAAACCTTAATGTATTCTTGGTGTTTACAACAAACCCCCATTTGGATTGACATCTCAAATACTACAATGACATGAGTAGTATAGATTAATTGCTTTATAAAAATCCTACTATCACATTCACAAGGAGTTTTATCACTTGCTCTAAATCATATATTATCAACTAACAGAAATATTACACGTGTCTTTGTTAATATCTTCGCTTTACCATCCTTCTCAATCTCTAGCGTATCCCATTATATTTAATTTGAGAATGATCACGTAGGGATCGATAAAAACCTATCTGTTTAAGATTAGGTTTCATAGGTTTTTTCCACAAGATCTTTCAAAAGGGTTAATATTGTAGCTATTTCTCATCATAAACATTATTATGTAAGAATATATTTTAATATTCGTGGGAGACATAAAATATGTTTAAAATAACATAGGCGAAAAGTTCATAAGAAATTGTTATGTGATGTAAATTATCAAACTCGAATCATTTTAATAATACAATCAGTTTTGTAGATATTGCTTACACATTTTTCTTATAAAGACCAAATAATGTATTATGCCAACAGTATCTTCAAATCTTGGAGACTCAGTGAAGCCTTAAGCAAAACATGCTCGTCCTATAAACAAAACTCAGACTCAACATCATAGCCATTAAACAAACCAAAAACACAACACTGCACGTAATTAGCGACTCTCTATGGTAGGTCTGACTTGCTTTCTGACATTGCCAATATTTTTGGAAGTGAGAGTTTTCTTATGAAGAGAAAAACAGAGACTATAAACTATAGTTGAAAAAAATTGTTCATTTTAAACAATTATGTTTTTGATATGAAAGTGAAATATGGTTTTGAGTTTTGTACCTTAATTATGATTAGCTCTGAGAAGTATCAACAAGCAACACGGCCGAGGAAATTGGAGATGCGGATAAGTGAAACAAATACTTTGGTGTTGTTATGCCAAATTTGACCAAAACTATCTATAACCGTTATTCCCAAACCAGAGACAAAAATGTAACATTGTGAAATCTTCTCTTATACAAAAATTACCATCTCCTACTCTTTTCAGCGGTAATGTCACTCCTCTCAAACCAATATTCCTAATAAAAACACTGCAAGAACAAAGACAAAAACTAAATAGCCAAGAATTATAAACCGTAAATATCCAAGAATAATAAAAAACTAGATCACAAGTTCATTCTACAACTCTTTCCAATGATCTAACGTTGTATAGTAGAGCATGAACCGAAGAATCATGAGAGTAATTGAACATCAAATAAGCCTGAGTCCACACTGCCCCAGACAAACCTTAAAGCCCTTTCAAGATTCATGAATGCATTACACAAGAGATGTTTTATTGTTCCTACGAGAAATTTCAACCAACAATTGCATTAACAAAACTGTTAATTACTTTCCTTCAATTTAAGTAACCAGAATCAGTAAGAATATAGTTGCTTGTAATTAAAGCATGCAAGTCCCCACAGTACAAACAAATGTGTATAAAGAAGTAAAACCAAAAGTTTCATAAGGTGATAACCATCTTCATAGAGCTCTCCTTAATTTAAGATCAGTTGTGGAACTTATCTTAAATAAATCAGGATAACTCTAAATGTAATAAAAACTTAATACGACTATCGTTACAGATCTAGCAAGTCGTTTTCAATTCTAAAATTTAGTAACTAAATAGGCCAATACTAAGAATTGTGCCTACAACAGTAAATAGTTCCTAAGACTTTCTCGTACCGAATTCTAAAAAATTCCAGTATACGATCATACCATCTTGAATAACAAAACTATTGCAATACGAAAAATTATTCAATATCTTACAGGTAATGTAATAGCAAAAATAGAAAATATATTTTTTAACAAATCTCTTACAG